AAACGTTAACTCTGTTTTCTCCTTCGCAGATGCTGCCAGACCTGCCGAGCTTTTCCAGCAACTTTGTTTTTATTCTCGATTTATTGTTTGTTGCAAGCCTGTGTTCACTGGTCAGTGGATGCAGTGGAATTCCTACAGCTATGCATGCACTATAAAATTGATCAAAAACAGTCCAAGCCATTTGCTCACTTCGCAAGCTTGATCCTGAAATGGGACACATCAAAACCATCCTGCAGGCTAACGGCTACCCCAAGGAGACTTCATGATTAGGCCTAGTGCTGTTACTTTAGGTCCTGAAAAGTGCTTAGTCTATCATGGAATACCCTGAAAAGGCAATTAAAGTATCTCAGAAGTTTGAGCAACAAATGAAGTTGTTTCATGCTGTTACCATGCAATAGCAATTCAAGTGGTGCCTGCTAATACCAAGATGCTGTTGTCAAGCCAAAGGGTGTTGTGCTTATCACACAAATGACTAATGTGTTTAGGGTTAATTTCACTGCTGTCGTGGTGCTAGGTATGTAGACCGTATGTCCTGAATTTTGGCAGATCATATCAAATAACAGACTCCTTTGATTGTTTAGAAAGGGCAGTGCACTGACTGTACACATGCAGCCCATGCTTACATAACTCAAATGACAGTATCCAACACTAGATTTGATTGGGCGACATTTGCTATATACTCCTGAATACGTTAAGAATTATGTAGACAGTCAACTTAAGGTTGTCATTTCAGCTCACAGTGTGGCACATTTGTGCGTATTGGAAGCTACATATATAAATACAAAGGGCCCTGTTTTTCACAGACAGAACATGTACACGCATTCCACCTGTTTCAAATCAATAGAACAGGTGACAACATTTTTTGGCTTATTTACAGGGCAATGCCTTTACCAGTCAGAGTCCACCTGTAAATTTAAACAAAGTTAACTGTCAGTAGTCATGAAATTTCATGCATTCTATGTGGCAATACCTCTATCAGAGTCCATTTGCTAACAAATTAGCACACTCTACTCATACAGTAAAAATGTTGTTTTCGCTTTACTTTGGTATTTTTTACAGATTGTCTTGAAGGCATGCAAGAGGAAAAGCTTGGGTAAATTTCTTTTTTGAGCAATATTCACGTTTTGTGCAACCAAACAACTATGAAACACTATGCAGGCTTACCTGAACCAGTAATTTATGAAGGTTTAGCACAACGTTCTTGTTTTTGCATTGTATTCCTGTATAAATAAAGTTGAGAATTTAATATTTTTATTTAATACTCTTCTCAAGCAAGATGGCGGCAAGGTAAGATGCTACGGTCGGAGCTCCTCTGCTCGCCGGTTCCTTTTCATTTTCCATTCTTTTCTTTTTCTTCCTTCTCTCCCCTCTCCCGTTTGCAGTATCCCCTCCCCCACCACCCCTGCAACCTTTAACTATTTTTAACTTCCAGTATTTAACTCTGAAGGAAGGAGTCGCCTCCGGTGACCGAGTGGGAGCTGAGCATGCGGGCCATGTCCTGCAGCGGCACCGGAGTGAGTGCGGGCTGGAGCGACGTTGGTCAATCGGACGTGGGTCAGACGAGTCCCCGGATGGACCAAGGGGCCGTGTCCTGGAGCAGCAGAGGAGCCGCATCCGCAGAATGACAGTGAGACCACATACCAAGGGCATCATGGGGCCAAGTCCTGGAGCAACAGGTGGCTGAGAGAGCTCTTTAGTGGAAGGCGGCTTCAGTGGGCTCCAGCGGCATTTTTGGAGGTGATGGCTGAATTGGTCGGTCAGCCTGTGAGGTCTGGAGCAGGGCTCTTGTTTTTCATGTGGAGTAGGCCCCCAACAGTGGCATGGCGTGGACTGGTGTAGTCCAGAGCAGCAGGACACTCTCGACAGCATAGCGTTGGCTGGAAAGCCCAGAGTGGGACTCCAGCAATGGTGTAGCAGCGAAGAAGGAAAGTTGGACTGTCTTTAAGTTATCTTTCTTTATTTTATTCTGTGATTGGCACTTATGTACGAATGACAGTGCACACTTCTCACTGCAGTTTAATTTGAATGTATGTGACAGTAAAGAGTAATCAATATTCCTTGTCTTGCCATCTTTAAAGATTTGTGTGCATTCACCCTTTCTCATAATGAGGTGTATAGACAAAATGGATAAGGAGCAGCTATTTCCCTTAGTTGAAGGGTCAGTCAGTAGGAGACACAGGTTGAAAGTGAGGGACAGAAGGTTTGGAGGGTATGTGAAGAAGTTGGTTTCAGTCTGGAATGCGCTGTCTTGGACGGTGGTAGAGGCAGGTTGCTCCACATACCTTTTTTTTTGACAAGGTACCTGATGAGTACTTGGCATGTCATAACATTCAAGGCTATGGGCCAAGTGCTGGTAAATGGGATAAGGTTGACCGTTAGGTGTTTCACATGTGTCATTGCAGATTCAATGGGCCCAAGGACCTCTTCAGCACTGTGTGATTCTCACAAATCTCTATTTTTGCATTCCCTTTAAAATCGTACCTGTTGGTTGTAGAACTTCTTCCTTCTTGGGTTTTTTGGTCCAGGATGTGACCTGACTCTGGGAACACAACAGCGTAGAAGTGTGTGGCTTTATCAAGAATTCTTTTGGTGGCAAAACCTCTGAACAGGACCTCTTCACACGACTTCAGTGGTTGACCAGATTAATCCTCCCTGATAATCATGTGCCCAGAATACCTCAAGCTCTTAATGTTTATCGTGTGAAGTATGTCATTCATACCAATACAAATTCTCATTTTGGGATGGCAGACTTGGTTTCACATGTTATTCACTTTTCAATTATCTGGAGTTGTTATCAGGCAGTTTTATTTACTTCTGCTACTGTTTATCTTGTGGCTTTCTCCCACCTCAAGCTAGGTTTTGCAAGGTTCTTAAAGGCAAACAGCTTCTATTCTTTTCAGGGTCAGATAGAAGAACACTTGGGTGACCTTGTATTTAAGCAGAAAGCTAAAAGGCAGATTCTTTGCCTTCTTGTAGCCTTCTTTTCTTCAACAATCCTTTTATCCATGTCTGCATTTGGGACTGTCCAGTACTGGCTACAATTAAGCATATAAATACATAAATCACTACAAGGCAATAATGATCAGATACTAAAACTACAAATTTCAAAGATTAAGTCCAAGACTAAGGGAAACCGGTCTAAAATATGGAGAAATAATAAATGACAGCTACTCATGTCCTTTTAAATGTATAATAAAATCAATTACTATTACATTTATTTGAATAGAATCATTTTATTTAATTTGTCTTTTAGTAACTGAAGCAACCTTTTGATACTTTTCTCTTTACACTTCAGCATGAACAGATAAACCGAGTAAATAGTTACATTATAATTAACCTATAGGATGAAACACGAACCCAGAGTGGAATTTGAAAGTTCATGACAAAATTGCAGAAGTCATCTCAAAATATAGATTGTCCATGCTGCTTGGTCTGATATGACAAACCATTAGTCTGCCCCTCTGTTTTCATCCTTCTCACCTCCATCTCGTTGGCTATTCATATCCCTTACTTGATAATACCTGTTCTTCCATTCTGTATAGTGGA